TAACCAACCATGCTGCCGGTTTCCTGAGTTCGTTCCGCAGTTGGCACCTTTTTCCGAAGCCCCGTCCTCTTCTGTCGACGACGACGGCTCCCTGGACAAAACAGGCGGCGTTAATCCGAGGAGGCAGGCGAAACCTGGCCCTGCAGGGACTTCACAGCCAGAGGGCAGGCAGGCGACCAACGGCCATGCTGTGCCCACTCCCGCGAGCCACACGCATGCTGAGCTTACGGCTCCTTCACGGACGCCCCAGGGCAGCCAGCTCTGCTCACTCTGTGGGCCTGGCATCAAGCACAGAGCAGATGACTGATACATATTATCAGATAAATGCAGCAACTCATTTGCCGAAGTAAGTTCCCTGTCCAGTCATTCAACTTGAGAATAACATACTGCCCCCCACTTTAAGGAGGATAAAAGGACAGAGTAAAAGCCATCTCTCCCCACCCCCACCCCATCCCTCAGCTCCTCTGACAAGCTTGGGTCTCCTTCTAGAAAGACTTTGCATATAAAAGCAAATATCTGACCTTTCTCTCTCTCTCTCTCTCTCTCTCTCTCACTCTCTCTCTCTCTCTCTCTCTCACATACACACATGGGTGTGTTTAAACAGAGGAAACCTACTGAATTCACTTTCCTGCCCCTTACTTTATTGTACTTAATAAAACCAGAGATTAGAGGGCAGCCTCCTTTCTCTCAAATTTTTTAAATTGTGTTTCTCTTTTGGTTTTTTGAGCAGGTAACCATATTCATGTGGTTTAATGAATAAAAAAGTCTACACAGTGACTCTCCACCCTATTGCCCAGCCACTCAAACTCCTTCCTCATGTGACTATGAAATGCATTTGTTTGCATCCTTTGAGAAGTCAAGGCTAAAGGAGCAAACCTATGCACCATGTGTACACCTGTGTATACCCGTGTACACACGCACACACACCTTTGGGGTAGGGATGCGCGTGTGTCTCCAGGGGACTTGACTGACATGCATGAAGCCTGCGGCGCGGCACTGCCCAAACAGCGGAGAGCAGTGCCCATGTCCACCCACCAGGACCCCTCCTCAGACCTCGCCCTCTCTCAGGGGTGCAGCACCGGCCCTCCATTGCTCACCCTCTTCCTCACCACAGCTCTACCTCCTTCTTTAGACCCTCAGCTGTGGGGTGTCCCTTTCTCCTCACACTCTCACCAAGTCTCAACTCTCCTCCAACCTGGAGCCCAGAGCCTTCCCCAGGGCTTCCTGCCTTCTAGGCTCATACTTTCAACCTCAGGACACGGAATAGGTCCAAAAGCAACACGGTGTCTCCCCCTCTCCCACGGGCCAGCTGCTCCTGGAAAACATCCCATAGCCACCAACCTGCCACTATCCTCAGTCCTCGGGGCTCAGAGTCACAGAGTCTCGCTCCCCTGCCTGTTGACCACTAAGCCCTACGGTCTCCCGATCTCCAGGCCCGAGTCCATCCTCTTTCTCAATCTGCTGTAGGAATGGAGCATTCTCCTGGCTCTGACCAGGTTACTACCAGTGTCCCTACCCAGCTCCTGTAACTGCGCTTCTTTCCCAGGGGGGCCTCTGCAGACCCGAGGCCCACTGCACCTCTCTCTACCTGTGTTCACGGCCGCAGGTGTGCAATACTCCTCCACTAGCACAAATGGAGAGCGCACAGGGGCCCAGCAGGGCACTCTGCACGGAGCTGGGGCTCAATGCAGCTGTTTCAGGTAAGTGGTCCATCCCAGTTTTGATTCAATCTACTCAGCTGTAATGACATCCTCATTTTAAAAGCATGGGCTCTCGCCCGGCACCCAGCTTTCCACACCCAGGACCTCTGACAAGGCTCCATGAGACCACACGCTCACTACAAACAAGCTCCTTCTCAGCACCCCCACAAAACCAGCGCAGCGCAGGCCACCGCTGCCGCCGCCCTGCCCGCAGCTCAGCACAGCCTGCGTCCCCCGCTCCAGCCTATTCTCAACACAGAAGCCAAGAATCTTTTGACTACGTGATTTCTCTGCTCAAAACCCTCTCATGGTTCCACCTCCTCAGAGTGGAGCCCACTCCCTGCCGCGGCCACAGGGACAAGATCTGGCCCAGGACCGCTCCCACCTCCGCTCCTGCGTCTCCCTCAGGTGCTGCTCTAAGTCACAGTCCTTCCTCCCTGTGCCGGGGCCACGTGTCCCTGTCTTCCCTCAGCTGCCTGCCTGCATCAGGCCCCTCCCGTGTCACCGTCCACCTTCTTGGGCCTTTCTGTGTTGATTTGCTTCCCTTCACTTGTCACCACCTGACCCAGCTGTTTGGTTCACTACTGTATCTCCAGGTGACACTCACTATTTACTGAATGAACGAATTCTAAAACTTCCACTCTACCTAATGGCAACTTTAATTGACAGTATTTATCTGCTAGTTGGGTAAACTGAAACAAAGTGGACTGAAGAAATATTCCAGCATCTTGCTACCAAAACGGCAAACCAGGAAGCCCCGAGTTCCCACCATTTCCCATCAGGAACACTGCGAGGGCCACCGGAAGCTGCCTGAACCGACTGTACAGGAGCTCTGGAAAGTGAAAGGTTTACAGCAGCCAACAAAGTCCAGTCAGGAAACAGCTAGCTTCGAAAGGGGAGGCAGGCTCTGTGGCGTCCACTTGTCTCTGCCCCACACCCAGGGCCCGGTGGACTTGTGGCAGCAGCTTATTCCCATTCCCCCTCAAACCAGAGGGCGCAGAGCAGGCCCCTGGCAAACTCTCTGCAGGCCATGCTGAGGTGTCTGGGGAGACACCGAGGGACTCAGGCACTACGCCTATTTGTTTCACACATCTTGGCACACAGGCAGGAAAGCAGTGGGCAGTTTGGAAAAGCTGACACCACAGATGCCCGGGGCAGGGATGAGGCACGGAAACCGCAACAGACCACTGAAGGCCCAGAGGAGAAACTGGGTGAGACTCACTGGGAAACTAGGACCCTCAGCAGCAGCACATTGCGGGGGTCAGGGAAGGGTACAGAAAGCCACGCACGGGCTGAGGCAAGACGCATGCTCAGAAAAGTCCTGAGACGACCTTGAACGTGACCTCGGGCTGATTTCTAGGCGAGGCTGTGGAGAAAGTGGGAATTTTCGTGCACTGCTAGTGGTGATGTAAAGTGGGGCAGCTGCCGTGGAAAACACTGGCAGTTCAAAAATCAAACACAGAAGTACCCCATGATCCAGCAAGTCCACGTCTGGGAATATACACAAGAACCGAAAGCAGGGGTGTGAACAGATATCCCTAAAGCATGTTCTCAGCAGCACGATTCACACAGCCATACGTCCACGAACATTAATAGATACACAAAGTGTGGTCTAGCCATACAATGGAATATTTACCAATAATTTTGTTAGATGTAATAATAGCACACCAGTCAAGTTTTTAAAAGCCTTTTGTTCCACATCCTTGCCAACACGGTATTTTCTTTCATTTCTGGTGAATATGTAGTGGTATGACTGCGCTGTGTTTTTAATCTGCATTTCCCTGATGGCTAATGAGTTTAAGAATCTTTTCATATATTAATCATTAGACAATTAATTAGCTGGACACTGTGAAGTTTCAAGTTTTTTGCTCAGTTTTCTACAGGTGTCTGCAATTTTCATCCTGGTTGGAAGGAGTTCTTGATTTGAGTCCTTTGGCAACACACACTATCATCCTCCCGCTTTGGGGGTTGCGAGTCCCTCACACTGCTGGGAGAAGTACAGACTGGTGCAACCAATGTGGAAAACTGTGGGGCAGTAGCTCTAGCTTGACTCAGCAATTCTATTCTATCAGAAATACATTCACAAGTGCACCAAAACACAGGCAGGACAACGGTTAAAGTACCACCCGAAGTAGCCCAGCACTGGACGTTTCTCCCGTCAACAGTAGAATGGGTAATTATGGTACATTCACACAATGGGATATAATTCAGCAATGGGAATGTCCGGCCGACAGCTACATGCACAACATGAATGAGTTTCACAAATAACGTTGCGCTAAAGAGTTAGATTTAAGAGAGACACTGCATGCTTCCGCTCAGAGGACAAACCCAGTGCTGCCCTGGAAGGGAGGAGCTGGTCTGAGTCACGCCCTCTTTCTGATCTGGGGATGGTTTCTTACTCAGAAAACCTACCAAACGACATTTACAACACGTGCACTTTTCTGTCTGTGTGCTGTCAGTAAAAAGCTAATAAAAACTCATTCCCTAAGAGACACACAGTGAAATAATACATCTGGGATCCGATTTATCACTCCACAAAAACAAAAGTGAAGGCTGAGGTCTGGTTAAAACAAGATTCCCAAAAGTAACTACTAAAGCTGAGTGATAAAAACAGGGAAACTCATTAAACTGTCTACTTTCAAAAAATGTCTGTAATGCTTACAAGTTATATTTCCACAAAACAGCTCTCCCAAAAGAGAGACAAAAATCCACTTACTGTGTTTGGCTTTCTTCAACAGTTTGTATTTTAGCTTCTTCGTACAATTTTTTCAGTTGTTCTATATGTTCTGGATTATCAATGCCCATTCCCATTGACAAAATTTCAGCTCGAACATTGTAATCAATGACAGAAGTTTTCAAATTTAAAAGTTTTGTAACGTGCACCTTGAATCAAAGAAAAAATACATTTGCAGAATCAAACTTTGAACTTTAAATGAATCACAAGCATGCTCACGCAGCCTCTTGATCCAGCTCTGTAAGGTGTGATGCCCTTGGGCACATGCCACCATGTGCAAGGGCCTCCACTCACAGCCAATCATTTCTTTTTTCTTTTTTTTTTCATATTGTCATGTATTTCATTTTAATTTGGGCATTCACAAGTATCTTCATATTTTTAGCCCCATTTCATAGATAAGAAAACTGAGGCAAAGAGAGATTTAATAACTTGTATGGCGGGCATGCTGGGGCTGTGGGTCTCCTCTCTGCGTGCTGCACGGAGGGGGAGACTTGAACCGGTTAGAGTAAGCTAGGAGGCGCTTTCAGGATTAAAGGATAATGAAAGACAGACATAAAATAGATTAAAAGCTTGGGCTGGGTGTGGTGTCTGCCCTCTGAGTCAAGAGACAGGCAGAGAGAGCCTGCCCTCTGGAGGGACAGGCACACAGAGCTCACAGCCGATCATTTCACAACCGAGTCCCATGGGAATCTTCCAGGGCCCAGTCCCACACCGCACAAACACCACCAGCTCTGGGTCAGGACAAGACCGATCCTGGCATGGAAGCCCAGACGAGACCAATCTGTGATGCTGTAACCACCCACAACAGTCCTAGGATTTTCTGATTTTTGCTCCGGTACTTTGGCCTCTCTCCACAAGGAAGACCCTGGTCTCCAGGTGCCCAGAAAGGCTCTCCGCCAAAGCCCCGAGTCCTGTGTTCTGGACAGTTTCCTCTCTTCTGCAACCAAAACATTCTCACCCATTTCAATTGACACAAAATTAGTTGATTCCTGTTGGTCGGAGATCCACACCAGGACTGGGCATCCCTTTCATGGCGTGCTGGCACTGCCTGAGGCACCTTCCTAGCGACCCTGGGGGTGTGTCCCATCTGGGACTGGTGTTCTCCCACAGTGGAGAGCCAGCTGGTGGAGTGGAGAAGGCAGCAGGCGTGGTCTGTCTCCCCCAGCGAGCCCGGCCACTGCTATACCTTAGAGCTGCCTAAGCATATTTGCCAGGGGAGGGGAGGGGGTTCTTCTTCTTGTTTGTTTTATTCTCTGAGCTATAGCTTTAAAAATTGCTGCTTGATGAAATTTCCATTTTTCTCCAATAAAGAACCACAATACTGACTATTACAGTATCAACTAGTAATCTCTATCTTCACTTCTAAAAATCATTTATCCTCTTACTCTTAAATCTCATACCCAATCCAAATTCCTTTTAAAGTTTTAAGGCATTTCCAACCTTACAAAAATAACCTCCAGCAGAAGTTTTTACAAAATTAATTCCTTTAGCCCTAACCGGTTTGGCTCAGTGGATAGAGCATTGGCCTGCAGACTGAAGGGTCCCAGGTTCGATTCCGGTCAAGGGCATGTACCTTGGTTGCCGCACATCCCCAGTAGAGGGTGTGCAGGAGGCAGCTGATCGGTGTTTATCTCTCATCGATGTTTCTAATTCTCTATCCCTCTCCCTTCTTCTCTGTAAAAAATCAATAAAATATATTTTTAAAAAATGAATTCCTTTAAATTTTATCAATAATCAGTAATAGAGAAAACTTTGACTTGAAAAGTAGAGCTCCTAGGGCCAGGGAGAGGAGATGGTGCCCGCGTCAGAGGGGATGCACTGAGACCCTATTTACATGGCCTCATCCCACAGTCACCACCCTCCCCACATCAGCTCACAGCACAGGAGTCTCTGTTCACAAATGAAACTCAAGTGTCCCATACAGGTGTGACCTAGCACACAGTGGGTACTCAATCAGTATTTAGTGAATGAATGAGATAGACACTATGAACATAATAAAACCTATTTTTGAAAGCCCACGGACTGGAACTCCCCGCACTACCAATCACGGGTCAGGACTTTAAGCTCATGTACAACTAGACAGAGGGCAGTCACTGACCCAGGCCACCCCACCTGTGTGGACAGAGGACAGTGAAACCGACCTAACAGTGGAATAGGCCCTAACCGGTTTGGCTCAGTGGATAGAGTGTCGGCCTGCGGACTCAAAGGTCCCAGGTTTGATTCCGGTCAAGGGCATGTACCTTGGTTGCGGGCACATCCCCAGTGGGGAGTGTGCAGGAGGCAGCTGATCGTTGTTTCTCTCTTATCGATGTTTCTAACTCTCTATCCCTCTCCCTTCCTCTCTGTAAAAAATCAATAAAATATATTTTTTTAAAAAGTGGAATAGGCAGGACTGTAAACATTAGAGACTGTCACATAGTAAGGACAGTTTCATGAAGCTTGTCTTGGTTGTGTGTGTGTGTTCACACACATGCCTGTTAGCACTGGGAGACAATGCAAAAGATTCCTTTAATCAAAAACTCCACAATCAAATTATTACCCAAATAACATGAAAAAAACTCCTCCTAATTCAGAGTCCTAAATAAGCCTCCATTCATGTGAGACAAAAGTTACTCAAAGCAACAGGTTAGAATAACGTGGACTATTTCAGAGCCCATTCAAACACACGTTTGTTTTTAAGGAAACTGCGTACTCACCATTGGATCAATCCAAACTGTATTTCCTAAAGCAAATACCACTTTTGCATCATGCAATTTTCCAGTAACTTTATGATGAATGTACCTCGTAACCTGAAAAACACACTGAAGTGGTTTATGTGAAGCTTTAAGAAAAGACCTCGTTCTGTATATGCCATGTGGTTCTGCAACAAACTCCCACGCATTCCATTAGAGCTCACAGCCATCCCAGGAGTAGGTTATGGAGGCCAGTGTGCCCCTTTCATCGACCAGAGTGACTAACAGTGGAGTTGAATACCCGCAGGTGTGAGCCCTGGCCGGTGTGGCTTAGAGGATAGTTGGCCTGCAATTCCTAACCAAGGGCATGTACTTGGGTTGCAGGCTCGATCCTGGCCCTGGTTGGGGTTCGTGGGGGAGGCAACCAATCGATGGGTCTCTCTCACACTGATATTTCTCTCTGTCTCTCCCTTTCCCTTCCACTCTCTCCAAAAATCAATGGATTAACCAACTGTATCAAATCTGCTGAGAAGTTAATAAGAATTACTTAACAACAACAAAAGGGCAGATGCTAAAGCCGAGTGCACAGGTCCATGCCTGCTTCCTACCGTGGACATGTGTCCCCACCTCCTCTGTTAACCATCAACCTGTCGTTAAGGTATGGATGTTTATTTCCTGGAAAGCTCCATGAGAGTGCAGTAGGCGTTCCTGCAGGTGCGGGGGAGGGAGGCACGCGCGGAGCTGCTCGGCACCCGGACCTGAGAGGCCCAGCAGCTGAGACCTGCCTGAGCACTTGTCAGGCACATGTTGACTCCAGTAAAGCAGCCGGGGAGGGAGCTGGCTCGTGCTGACTGGATTCTTTCCACCTCCACTGAACTTTGTAATTGTCTGAAAGGACACGCACAGGAGAATGTCGCCCCCATTTCTAGAGAAGGCTCCTCTTCAAGAAATACTTGTGGTCGATCATCTTGACAGACCAAATGTTTGCCATGACTTTCTCGCTAATGGCTACACACTTCAGAATACATGTGGCACCAGCACAGTGGACAATCAGCAAATACTTTCCATGAAGGAAACGACTGCTATTTAATAAATAACAGTCTTATTTTACTAAACTCTCTAAGGAAGGCTGTGTGTTCACCCTGTACGGTGGAAGCATTCACCTATGTATTTCCTGGATAACGTGCAACTTTGTTTTTAACCCAAACTGTTTTTACTTTGCCAACTGCAATGGCTTATTTCATATCCTACTAATCAGGGGATACAAAACTTAACTTCCTCTGAAGAACCAGGGGGAGTTATGAACAGGACTCACTGCTCTGGGGATGACTGTCTGGCGACCTCTCCCAGGCGCGAGAGCCTCTGCAGCCCGTGGTGGGAGGCCGTGGGAGCCCACCTGGCACCACTCTTCCGTGCCCCTTGTCCTGGCCCATGCTGTTTTCTTGGCCTCGCTGCCTCGTCCGGTCTACCTGGTGACATCCTAGTCACTCCTCCCAAAGGGCCCACACAAATGTTCCTTCCTTTGAGAGCTTTGCTGAACTCTCTTTCCTTGTCCATCCTCCCAACCCCAACGAACTACCGGGTCACTCCAGGAAGTGGCCATCACCTGTGTCCCCTCTGACCAGGGTATCCATTTTGTAGGTTCTTACACTGTTTCTTCTCCTTAAGCTGACAGCCAATGCTCTTTATCATGACACACATTTCCCACCAATTCTAAGTCTGTGAGTGCTGAGGATAATGATGGCAACCCGCCCCTGGCAAACAGGGTGCCTGTTCAGAGCTGGGTCTCTGCAGGCTGGCCGTCAGCACAGCCCACACCTGCAGGGGCCACACAGACTGTGCTTTCTCTACTCAGGAACAGGAAGCATTTACCCAACCTCAAAACTGTGATTCAAATAAACCTCGATTCTGTGTACATTCTGTGTTAAGTATATGCTAAAAGTCAGCAAAATATAAAAAGCCGAAATAACTCTCACTTTTGGATTCCATTCAATTTCATTGTCAGCAGGTTTCACTCTACAAACAATGAACTCCATGGCTTGGGGGGGCAGAGCCTGGAAGTTTTCTGGGAGATGCAGCAGCTGATCTCTGGGGATGGGTCCAGTCCTGCCTTCATCTATAAACTTCACAAGGACAGTCTCGAGGGCCGGCGTGTCTGCTTTTTGGCTCACCTCCAACACCTGAACTCTGAAGAACAACAGTGGCATCAGTTTAACACAGAGATTCTAAAATGGAAATAACCTTTGCCTCCACTTACCCGTAAGTGCTAAACATATAGTAAGACCCCCGAGCTGCATGGTTTTACTCCATACTAGGAATAAAATACCTAGAGCTGTCAAGAGCACTTAGCAATGGTTTGTTTAAAGCATACCTAAGTATAAATAGAGTAAATCCCTTATTTAACAACACATTAAAAATTAACGTAGCAAATTAAGAGTTTCAAGTTTCTCAATCTAGGTTATCACCAAGTGGAGTAGGGTGTGGCATTCGAAGGATGTGGGTGCCAACAGGTATGTGAGTCAGACTGCCCGGGTTGGAACACTGTGCCACTTATTGAGCTGATCTCACACGAATTACACAGCCTCGCAAGGCTCAGTATGCTGATCTGTAAAATGGGAATAATGCCACATCCTTTGTGAAAATTGCGTTAAAGATGTACATGTACTTGGCAGACAATGATGGCTCCATAACTGTCGGTATATAAAGGCCACAGTCATCCAGGCTCTGTGCTCAAGAGCCTGGGGCCAGATGAGTCCGAGGTGGAGAACCGTGCCCAGGGTCTGGGGGCCATGACCCTGCCACCACCATCCTGGGAGTCAGCAGGCCTAGCACGTGAACAGTAGGCCGGACGGACAGAAATGAAAATGGGAGTTCAATAGCAGTTAAAGTTACCTCGTGCTTCATACCTTTTCAAGATGAAATAACAGACATTCTACCTGTGAAAAAGTGTTTTCTCTGCTAATCCGTATAATCCAAATTTCTCCACCTTTTCAATGGTTGTTTTATTACTGGAATCCTCAAAATACTGCTTCATTTCAGCATTCAGAGTTGCATAAAGATCCACATGTTTATCAACTATACGACCAAAGTAATTTGTTGCATTCAAAATGTAAAAGGGTATTATCTGAAACACAAACACAGCCAGGAAATAAAATTAAGCTAAACCAGGACCCTGTCTGCAAAGATGAGCACCTGACCTGAGAACCCAGAGCACATGAACAGAAATAAAAGAATAAACTGGAAAACTAGCCAACAAGCAAACAAAACACAACAAAAACATTACCCTCAAATAATCAGCTTCACTTTAAATCTACCGGATTTTTTTTTTTTTGTAAATCTCATTATTTTAAAATTGCATTATTAGTCATAAGTGTCCCTTTATTTACTTTTTAACTGCACTTTATAAAGCTCTTCTTAAAATAGCACCCCTTTCTCTTGAGCCCTTTCTGATCTTGGCTCCTGTAACAAGCGGTATTTTAGTAAGCGCCTACTGCGCGTGAGGCACTGGGCAAACAGATGAAGCCACGTCCGGCAGGGACCCTCAGCAACCCTCAGATGGACAGATATGCCACAGCCAGAGCGTGCTGAGGAAGACAACTCTTCACAGGCCAAGTGTATGCGGGGTCACTGGTGTGAGGGGAGTGCTGGCGTGCGTATGCAGTAGCAAGAGCATGGAGAAGGCATTCCAGACAGAGGAGCAAACAGTGTGCACTGAGGCAGGAGCCCTGGCTGCCCAGGAGTGAGAACTGGTGATGTGGTGGAATGGTGGAAAGGGTAGTGCTGACTCAGAGGCGGACAGACAAGGTAGGGGCGAGGTCACCCCTTGTGACTCAAAAGCGTGTCGGACCTCACCAAGCTGACAGCCTGAGGTCCCCTCTACGGCCCCTCCAACCTCACTGCCTGCCCCTCTCCCACTCTCACTGCCGGTGAGTCGTGCTGTCCATAGACAATCCACATTACCTCCTACCTCGGGGCCTTTGTACATGCTGGTTCCTCTGCCTGGAATATTCTTTCCCAGGTCTTCCCATGGCTGGATCCTTCTTATCTGACCCTCAATGCAGTTGACTCTCTTCAGAGAGTCCCTCCCTGCCTATAATTTTCAAAGGGCCCCTTGTCCCCTGACACCCTTACAGCAGCACACCCCCTAG